ACAGCCTTCAGACGTCCCTCAGTGAATATACGTACATGATGCAATAAACGGAGTTGGGCTGTAACCTGATTTTTTTAAATCCCATTTTGTGAGCTTCACATTTGTTGAGTCCCACAATGCTGGATATTTAGGTTGTTTGCGATTTTTGTAACGGATTACATAATTTTTTGATTCTCTGATTTCAGCTCCACCCCTGGGGTTTTCCTGTTTTCTCTGGGACATATTTTTCTACTTTGCTGAAGATACTATCTTTGTAGGATTTTTTTTTTTTTGTCTTGTCAGTTTTGATCATTGACATCTGTTTTGTTTAGGACCTCTAACAGGAGTTTCTAAGTGGTTTTCAAGTAATGTATGATAGACTTTTAAAGGCCTTATTCAATCTTTTCATTAAATGTAGCCTACATTTGATTGACTAAAACATCACCTCAATAGATGTGTGGTGGGTTCCTAGGCTGGCCATTTCCCTCTGTATTTTTGAGTTCAGTTCTGTGTAAACATGGTTACCAGGCTTGCTACCATTCCCTCCTTAAAGTGATTTCATACTATCAGCATTTCCAGCCCCAAAGACCCCTGGCTGACCTGGATGTTCGGAGGTGAAACTCCCTCCAGAAGTTCTGTGCCCTGGCTGGCAGTGTGGGTGGCATGTGAGGCAGGCAGCGATAGAAGCTAGCTGGGCCTAGGTGGGCTTCTGCTCCACTTCTTGACCCACCACATCCTGAGACTCAACTCTGGGCAGTGCCCTGCCACTGTAACCCTGTCACATCGCACACTAATCCTTTGTTATGTGACTGCCGCCCTACCCTGGGCTGTGAGCTTCTCAAGGGAGGGACCTTTCCCATCCTGTGCAGTACCTGAGAAATATTTGCTGAATGAATGAATGAGTGATTGACTGAGTGAATAAAGGCAAGAAAAAAAATCCTGATATTACACCCAAGCAATGTTTTGATGCTCAGTGCAGGGAAAGAGGAGGGAGGTGGGGAAGCCAGGTTACAGAGAAACACAGCCTTAAGTGTGTGGGCTTTGAAGTGGGAAAACCAGGACTGAAATCTGGGCCGGACAACCTACCAGCTGTGTGACCGTGGGCAAGTCACTCAACTTTTCTGCACTTAAGTCTCCTTATACATAAAAGGGGATTCATTCAAGTAACAGGTAGATTCAATAAGTATTTATTGAATGCATTGGGCTAGGCACTATTCTAGGTGCTGGGGAGTCAGCAGGGAACACAGTTTTCTGTGACAGCCATGGGATCACGCTGTTCAGAGCAACTTTAGGAGAGAAACTCTTAAGAGCTGCAAAGAAGCTAACTTTAGCCTCCCTCCACTGCACCACCCTGTTAATACTGAGGCTGCAATGAGGGTGTAGGCCACTGCAGCCTGGGCTCTTCTTGCCCAATCCTTCTGTCCCCCTCTCTCTCCGTGGGTGTCAGACCTGATCAGGGTCAGAGGCTTTCCTGCCTCCCCCTTCTCCTTCCCCTTTATCCTTCAGAGATGTGTCTCCCAATAAGTCTCTTGCATGTCTAATTCTGTCTTGCTGTCAGCTTCCTGGAAGGCCCAAACCAATATAGCTCTGTTCTCAAGAAGCTTACCTGATGGAAATCAAGTAGTACATACCTCTGAAGGTTGTTGTGAGGATTAAATGAGATGAAATTTGACAAGGGCACAGCTGAAGGCCAGCACCAACTAAGAGCTCAGTCAAGGATACACATTGTTGTTTCTATTGTTATTATCCTCACTGATTTTATTACCCAGGTGAGCAGGTAGAGAATGATATCTTTCAGGTGTCAATTTCTTTGGTTGGTTCAACCCAGTGGACTGTACCTATATCCATGTGTCCTTCAGGGTGTCTTCAGGAACAAGAGGCTAGAAACTGGAAGTGAGAAATCCTGGGAAGATGCTTTGTAGCCTTCAGAAAGTGAGGCTGGAGCTTCCAGAAGAATCTTCTGATTCTAGGAAGGTTGGAGTGTGGAAGGGAAGAAGTCTGAATGACCATCTTTGAGGTCTGTCCTTGGCTGAGAATAGCACAGGCCACTCACTGAAGCTTAGGGGAAAGAGTGATGGGGCAGCAGAATGTGGTGAACATGAGTACAGGAGTGTGGAGCCAGGCTGCCCGCATGCAAATCCCAGCCCTGCCACCTACTACCTACCTCCCAGGCTTGTTATGAGATTTATGGTAATAAAGATAGAAAGCTCAGCACAGAGTAAGTGTCTGAAAACTGTTGGCCCCTCCCCCTGCCCGCCTCCCCCAACACTTTTATTCTATTATACTTGGAATAGTTAACATTGTGTAACTCCTCTGGGTTGGAGAATTATGGTCAGGGCCTGGGCTAGGGAGCCACTGTCCTAATCTCTGTGGATTATTGTGAAGGAGAAGAAGGCCCAGGGAACGAAAGGAGGGAGGACGTGTGGGCATGGAAGAGGAGTTGGGCTTTCGCTGGGCAAATATTTATTGAGCAGCCACCATATTGCCAGCCCCTCTGCTGGGTGGTGGGTTTATGAAGGTGATTAGGACACAGGCACTCTTCCTAAGGGGCTCAGATACTAACTCGGAAGCCAGGGGTGGACAAACAGGTCTGTAAACAGTGTGCTGGGTCCCATGATGAGGCAACACACAAAACTTGGGGGCATGTGACCCTGGGTGGAATGGTTCTTGCCATTGCTCCCCTCCCAGACCAAGTGAAGCTCCTATGGCTCCTAGATTTTTCCACAGAGCAAACTCATCCCACGAGTACAGGATGAATGTCTCCCTTTCCTGCCAGACAGAGGATGCTGAGGGGACGTGGCCCGTGAGCGCCCTGCTCCTGTTCTCCCCCAGGGCCTGGCGCAGGGCTCCGCACACGTAGGCAAATATTTGTTGACTGAGTGATCTTCTGTCTCCCTGCTGTAAACGAGTATGACAACGTTGATCTCAGGGGTGGTTGTGTGGATCAATGGGGTCATGTTTATCAAATGTAAATCACCTTACAAATGTCATTATTGTAGACTTTTCTAATTGGTGTAGTCTCTTGTGGATTAATGTAGTAAGCTGTGCAGTCCTTCTGAACTTTCTTATGTGGTTATGTGGAGGATTAAGTAAATATATATAATATTAGAACAGGGCCTATCACGTCATAAATGCTCAAAAAGTCTTGGCTAAATCAGTGGGTATAAAATTTCAGTTATGCAAGATGAATAAGTTCTAGACAACATAGCCCCTATAGTTAACAACACTGTGTTGTACAGTTGAAAACCTGTTTAGAGAATAGATCTCACCACAATTAAATTCTTCTTGTGGTAAGAAATTGTTCATATCGCAATTAAATAAATTCCCCCAAACTGAAATCAAAACAAGCAAACAAGGCTTCCCTGGTGGCGCAGTGATTGAGAGTCTGCCTGCCGATGCAGGGGACACGGATTCGTGCCCCCGTCCGGGAGGATCCCACATGCTGCGGAGTGGCTGGGCTCGTGAGCCATGGCCGCTGAGCCTGCGCGTCCAGAGCCTGTGCTCCGCAATGGGAGAGGCCACAACAGTGAGAGGCCCGCGTACCGCAAAACAAACAAACAAACAAACAAAAAACCAAGCAAACAAAAAAACCCATGAAGGACAAAAATATATGTAGGAAAAATAGAGGCAACGTTATAACTTATTAGAGTGCCCAGAACAAATACATCACTTCTAAAATTTATCATTCACCTTGGTTTATAACCCATTACTATTTCAAAATAAAGTGGTGAAAAAATGTGGGGGGAAAAAGTCTTAGCTATTATAAATATCATCACCGTTGCTAGTTTTTTATGTGTCATTTTACTGATCAGAATTCTGAGATTCAGAGAGGTGAAGCACCTCGCCAGGGACCACACAGCTGAATGTGGGCAGAGCAGCCCCTAGGAACCAGGTTTTCGGAGTCCCGACCCAATGCTCTGGGACATTCTTGGAACTGCCCGCCAGGGGACGCTCTTCGCCCGGGATAGGATCTGGCCAAGGATCCAGCAGCAGCCTTTTCTAACTAGAAGAACCTAGCATTCTAGAGCTAGCAGGGATTTTGATCATGTCTAAGCCCTTCTCTTAGAGGGACAGAAACAAAGCTCTGAGAATGTATGTATCTGGGCCCAGATTCACCCATGGTCACCAGGTGATGCTGAGATGGAGTCCCAGTTTCCCATTTCCAAATCTCATTTGCTTCCTGCCTCCTTGTGTCATCCCTTGCCCATGTCCCTGCAGCCACTTCTGGACTGTCCCTTGCAGAGCTAGGTGCTTCCCTGCTGGGCGTTTGCAGGGCTCAGCTGTCTGGGGGTAGAGAAGGTGTTTGGGAGCAGGGCAGGTGTTGTGGCAGGTTGGGGAGCCCTCCCCATTTCTTACCATTCTCTGGCGTCATTCAGGGTAGTGTGTGCACTGCTAAGGGCAGGGATCCAGGAACTAAACTGCCTTTGTCCAAACCCTTGTCCTCCCCTTACCAGTCCTGCATCTCATTGCCCCATCTATAAAACAGGAGCTATAAAATACCCATCCCACAGGGTCTTTGTGAGGATCGAGTTAATATGTGCAAAGCACTTGGAACAGTTGTAAGCACATGGTAAGAGCTATAAAAGTGTTAGTTCTCAGTATTATAACTCACCAGCATCCTACCTGGATATGCGTTGATGTGAGAGTTTCAGTATGATTCATCACACTCCCCAGCTATTCACGCGTCTGTAGTATCCTTTCATAATAACAAGTGCCATCTACTTGCAGTTAGGCTGTGCAGTATGCTAAACCTGTGATTTCATTATATCAGTTAATCCACAGAACAACCCGTGGATACTATTATTGTTCTCAACTCAGAGTTGCTTAGTCAAGACTAAGGCATTTACCAGACTCACACAGAAAGTGACAGACCTGGACTCACACTCAGGCCTGTGTGATGTCAAAGCTGAGGCTTTTTACCACTACACCGTCTGACCTCCTCTTGAAGCCAATTAAAAACAATAAAATCAAGCCCCCGGAGGAGCCCCAGCATCCGCTCTGCTCACGCCTCTCTGCAGGACCTGTCTCTCTCAGAAGCAATCCTGCAGGGTGAGGTTTCCTACCACTCTTTTTTTTTTTTTTTTTAACATCTTTATTGGAGTATAATTGCTTTACAATAGTGTGTTAGTTTCTGGTTTACAACAAAATGAATCAGTTATATATATACATATGTTCCCATATCTCTTCCCTCTTGCGTCTCCCTCCTACCACTCTTATCCTTCGGGACAAAGGAGCAGATTTCACAGATGTCTCCCTGCTTCCTGGTAAAGACACAGCATACTTTGACCAACAAACAAAGAGCCCTCTTCAGATTAGAGCTGAGTTAGCCACACAGTCTTCAAGGGCCACCTTCCCAGCCTCCTGTTTCTTCTGCAGCCTGCAGGCCCCTTACCTGGGCAGGGTGGGTTGCCTGCATCTCAGGCACATGAATTCACTGAGTTCTGGGTGATCCAGATGTAACACGAGCTCTCAGTGACTCAGGCCAGCCTATCTGGGATTTTTCCTCTCTTGGCATGTGAGAGAGCCTGCAGTGTTGACATCTTTTAGCCAAGAAAGAAACAGCAGGCACCAACCTATAATTACAGAATCATAGAACGTCGGTCAGGGCTGGAAGGGACCATAGGATGCGGAGAAAAGTATCCTGACAAGAGAAGGTTCTTGGTCAGGATCTCGTTGAGCAGGAAGGAAGGTACCCAGATTTAAGCCCTTACTTATCCTTGGTACCTTTCCTGGTACCCACAGCTCCCAGAGGTGCTGAGAGAGGGCTGAGCTGGGACAGGGTGGGAATGTGCATCTAGGCCACTGAGTATGTGTGCATTCAGTGCTCGCTCTCTCTCTCTCATAGGTGATGATCCTGTAAAACAGGCTTTCTCAACCTCAGCACTAGTGGCGTTTGGGGCTGGATAATTCCTTGTCTCAGGGGCTGTCCCGTGTTTAGCAGCATCTTGGGCCTCTACCCACTAGATGCCAGTAGCACTCTCCCAGTTGTGTGACAACGAAAAATGTCTCCAGGCATTGCCAAATGTCCCCCTTCCTGCTCCCCACTCTTGTTGAGAACCAGTGTTCTAAAAACCGGCTCCTTCTCTTCTGGAAACATGTATTAAAAGCTTACTATGAGCCATGCTCTGCTGGCACATGAATCAAGCATGGGCTCTGTCCTTAAAGGAAGGACTCATTCAGAGTCCAGCTGGGGAGATGGACAGGGCCACACAGGTGGCAGAGTATGGGAAGCCCTTCCACAGAGATAAGCACTAGGTTCTCTGAGGGGCACAGGGCAGGTGCTTCACTGACTGGAGATCCAAGAAGGCTTCATAGGAGGACATGGCAATTTTCCAGGCAGGCAAGGCAGGTGAACAACATTCCAGGCAGAAGGAATGGAATATACAAAGGTCAAGAGTTGTGAAGTGTGACGTGTTGGCTGAAAAAAGTATTCTAGTGTGACCGTGTCCTAGAGTGCAAATGGGGAGTGGTTAGGGAGCAGCCTGGAGGAGGGTGAGGCAAGACTAACGAGGGTGGGACTTCCGTGGTGGTGCAGTGGTTAAGAATCTTCCTGCCAATGCAGTGGGCATGGGTTCGATCCCTGGCCCAGGAAGATCCCACACCCCGCGGAGCAGCTAAGCCCGTGCGCCACAACTACTGAGCCTGCGCTCTAGAGCCCGCGAGCCACAGCTACTGAAGCCCGTGTGCCCTAGAACCTGTGTACCACAACTACTGAGCCCATGCACCGCAACTACTGAAGCCTGGCACACCTAGAACCCGTGTTCTGCAACAAGAGAAGCCACCGCCGTGAGAAGCTCACGCACCACAATGAAGAGGAGCTCCCGCTCACCACAACTAGAGAAAAAAGCCGCGCGCAGCAATGAAGGCCCAAATGCAGCCAAAAAAATAAAAAATAAAAAAAGTAAGAATGAGGAGGAGGATAATGATGATGGTTAACTCATATTAACCATTATTATATGTCATAATATATGGCATCTAATGATGATGGTTAACTCATATTGAGCACTTATTGTATGCCATACTGTTCCAAGTGTCTTATGTATATTGTTTCTTCATCTTCAGGGCAATCCTTTGAGGAAGGTATTATTGTTATTACTTCTACTTTATAGATGGTAAAAATGATGCACAGAGAGATTATGTAACTTGCCCCAGCCACACAGCTTGGGAAGGTGATGGAAATTTGGTTATGAGATCCAAGGATTTTGAAGTAGAGCAGTGTCATGATCAGGGTCTCAGTTACCTTTTGCTGCATAGAAAACCGCCCCAAAGTGACTGGCTTAACCAATGCACTTTATTATATTTCATGATCTCGTGGGTTGGCTGGGGCTCAGCTGGGTGGTTCCTCTGCTGGTCTGGCTTGGACTCTCTCATGCAGTAGCAGTGAGGAGGGGCTGGATGTCTGCCACCTCGATGTTCCTCCATGTAGCCTCTCTCCTCTCTCTTCTTCTATGTGGGCCTTTGCCCATGACCACTTTCTCTTGCAGAGTAGCCGGTTCTTCTTGGTGGCTCAGTAGCTGCCAGGCCTTTTTAATGTGAGGACTTGGAAGTCCCAAGATGTTGTTTCCTCTGTAGTATTCTTTTTTTTTTTTTTTTTTTTTTTTGCGGTACACGGGCCTCTCACTGTTGTGGCCTCTCCTGTTGCGGAGCACAGGGTCCGGACGCGCAGGCTCAGCGGCCATGGCTCACGGGCCCAGCTGCTCCGCGGCATGTGTGATCTTCCCGGACCGGGGCACGAACCCACGTCCCCTGCATCGGCAGGCGAACTCCCACCCACTGCGTCACCAGGGAAGCCCCTCTGTAGTATTATTCTAGTCAAAGTGGTCACAGGCACAGCCCAGATTCACAGGGAGGGGACATGGGGCCCACCTCTGGTAGGAGGAGAGGCACACACATATAGGGAGGGAAGGGAGGAATTGTTTGAGGCCATTTTTGGCTACTGGATATCAGAGCCAGATTTTTATTCTAGAAAGAATGTTCTGGCAGCACTGTGGAGGTGGATTGAAGAGGGCAAGACTAAAGACATGAAGGTGAATTATGAAGTCACTGTAACAGCTTCAACAATTTTGGCTGAATTGGTCATTCAGCATCTCTCTTTTCTTCTGTTACTGTGGAAAGATCAGAGTAATTGTGTTTTTAAAATTATTAATTAATTAATTTGGTTGCACTGGGTCTTTGTTGCAGCAGGCGGGCTCCTTAGTTGTGGCTCCAGGGCTCCTTGGTTGTGGCTTGCTGACTCTTTAGTTGTGGCACGTGGGCTCCTTAGTTGTGGCAGGCGGACTCCTTAGTTGCAGCTTGCCAGCTCCTTAGTTGTGGCACATGAACTCTTAGTTGTGGCAGGCATGTGGGATCTAATTCCCTGACCAGGGCTGGAACCTGGGCCCCCTGCTTTGGGATCACGGAGTCTTATCCACTGTGCCACAAGGGAAGTCCCAATTGTGTTTTAATAATAATAATAATAACACAATAATCATACTAGCCTACAATTTATTAAGCACATATTGTATGCCAAGCACTGTCGTAAGTACTTTTCTACACATTTTAATCCTCACAATTAGCTCATGAGGTATATTCCTATTTTACCTTCTAGAAAACTGAGATCAGGTGTGTCAGTCACCTTGGGCTGCCATAAAAAGCTACCACAGACTGAGTGGCTTAAACAACGGAAATTTATTTCCTACAGTTCTGGAGGCTGGATGCTCGAGATAAGGTGTTGGCAGTGTTGGTTTCTTCCGATGCCTCCCTCCTTGGCTTGTAGATGGCTGTCTTCTCCCTGTGTCCTCACATGGTCTTTCTTCTGTGTGTGTCTGTGTCCTGATCTCCTCTTTTTAGAAGGACACCAGTCCTATAGGATTAGGGCCTCCCACATGACCTCATTTTACCTTCATCACCTCATTTTACCTTCATCACACTTCATCGCCTGTCTCCAAATACAGTCACATTCTGAGGTACTGAGGGTTAGGACTGCAACAAACAAATTTTGAGGGGACACAATTCAGCCCATAGAGTCAGGTAATTAGCCTCTGCTCATGTGATTAATAGGTGGGAAGCAAGTATTTGACCTGGTCTGTCTGACTTCAGACTCCTGTTGTTAACTGCTCCTTATAGTATTACTCCAAATTGTCTTCAGTTCTTGTCCCAAGCAGGAAAGAACAAGGTGGAGGAAGACACCAAGCCTGTAGAGCTTTGCATTTAGGACTTAGCTATTTCTAACTGAGGAGTAGGAGCTGAATTCCACTTACCTGTTCTGTGTCTTTCACCTGTCACTCTATCATAGTGACCTTTTCGGAAGGGCACTGAAAGATGGCGGGGGTGGCATATCCTGATAGAATCATACTAGGGGATGATAGTAATGATCACTAACACTTTATGAATGTGTACAGTGTGCCCGGAAGAATGCTAAGTGCTTTACGTGCATTATTTAATTCTCACAATAATCCTGTCAGGTGGGTATTGTTATGTTTCCTATTTTACATATGGGGAAACTGAGGCAAAGTGGTGCATTAACCTGCCCCAATTCACCCAGCTAATAAGAAGTGGCAGAGTCAAGCTGAGCACTCAGGCCATCTGAATCCAGAATGTGTACTCTTAACTATTATTCTTCCATACTGACTCTGGGAATCTGGTAAAGAATGTTTTTTTGATGTCGAGTTGTATGAGCTGTTTACATATTTTGGATATTAATCTCTTATTGGTCATATCATTTGCAAATATTTTCTTTCATTCAGTAGGTTGTCTCTTCATTTTGTTAGTGGTCTCCTTTGCTGTGCAAAAGCTTTTAAGTTTAACTAGGTCCCATTTGTTTATTTTTGTTTTTATTTCCTTTGCTTTAGGAGACAGATCCAAAAAAATGTTGCTATGATTTATGTCAAAGAGTGTTCTGCCTATGTTTTACTGTTTTCTTCTAGGAGTTTTATGGTTTCTGGCCTTACATTTAGGTCTTTAACCCATTTTGAGTTTATTTTTGTTTATGGTGTTAGAGAATGTTCTAATTTCATTCTTTTGCATGTAGCTGTCCAGTTTTCCCAGCACAACTCATTGAAGAGATTGTCTTTTCTCCATTGTATATACTTTCTTACTTTGTCATAGATTAATTGACTGTAAGTACATGGGTTTATTTCTAGGCTGTCTATTGTGTCCACTGAGCTACGTGTCTGTTTTTGTGCCAGTATCATGCTGTTTTGATTACTGTAGCTTTGTAGTATAGTGTGAAGTCAGGGAGCGTGATTCTTCCAACTCTATTCTTCTTTTTCAAGATTGTTTTGTCTATTCGGGGTGTTTTGTGTTTCCGTACAAATTTAAAAACTATTTGTTCTAGTTCTGTGAAAAATGCCATTGGTGTTTTGATAGGTATTGCATTGAATCTGTAGTTTGCCTTGGGTAGTATGGCCATTCTGACAATATTAATTCTTCCAATCCAAGAACAAGATATATCTTTCCATCTGTTTGTGTTGTCTTCAGTATCTTTCATGGGCAGAAGATCTGAATAGACATTTTAATAAAGAGGAAATGGAGATGGCCAACAGGCACATGAAAAGATGCTTAACATCACTAATCATCAGGGAAATGCAAATCAAAACCACAATGAGATATCAACTCATAGCTGTCAGAATAGCTGTCATCAAAAAGAACCCCAATAACAAATGTTGGTGAGGATGTGGAGAAAAGGAAACCCTTGTACACTGCTGTTGGGAATGTAAATTGGTACAGCCATTTTGGAAAACAGTATGGAGGTTTCTCAAAAAACTAAAAATAGAACTACCATATGACCCAGCAATTCCCCTTCTGGGTATATATCTGAAAAAACAAAACCACTAATTCAAAAATATACATGCACCCCAGTGTTCATAGCAGCATTATTTACAATAGCCAAGATATGGAAGCAACCTAAGTGTCCATCAACAGATGAATGGATGAAGCAGATGTGATATACACACACACACACGCGTGTGTGCACGCACACACAATGGAATATTACTCAGCCATAAAAATGAATGAAAATTTGACATTTGCAACAACATGGATGAACTTGGAGGGCATTATGCTAAGTGAAATAAGTCATACAGAGAAAGACAAATACTGTATGATATCACTTGTATGTGGAATCTAAAAAATACCACAAACTAGTGAATATAACAAGAAAGAAACAGACTCAGAGATTTAGAGAACAAACTAGTGGTTATCAGTGGGGAGAGGGAAGGGGGGAGGGGCAATACAGGGATAGGGTATTAAGAGATGCAAACTAGTATGTATAAAATAAGCTACAAGGATGCACTGTACGAAACAGGGAGTATAGTCAGTATTTTATAATAACTATAAATGGAGTATAACTTTTAACAATTGTGAATCACTATATTGTACACCTGTATCTTATATGATATTGTACATCAACTATACTTCAATTAAAAAAAAAGAATGAGTCTACACTATTTCCACAAAAAAGAATCTAAGTCAGAGAAGACCCGTTAGGCCATCATTTACCCAAAAGTTTTCAATTTCAACCATCAAGATATTTATTGCTACATATCAAAATAAAATACTGATACTGTTTCTTGATTTATCAATTATAGAAATCACTTACTGACTTGGTGTTATCTGAGATTAAAATGTCTGTCAGTTACTTGCCTTCTATCTTTTCCTGCAAACCCCTATAATCAATATTTATTGATATCATATTATGTTTATGTAATTATTGTCCATTGCAAAGCCAAAAAGTATACTGTGATTACATTTCCTTCCTTGTATACTGGAGTTGATAATATTTGATTGCTTTTTTTAAAAAAATAAATTTATTTATTTAATTAATTAATTTGTTTTGGCTGTGTTGCATTTTCACTGCTGGGCGCAGGCTTTCTCTAGTTGTGGTGAGCGGGGGCTACTCTTCGTTGTGGTGCGCAGGCTCCTCATTGCAGTGGCTTCTCTTGTTGCAGAGCATGGGCTCTAGGAGCGTGGGCCTCAGTAGTTGTGGCACACAGGCTCAGTAGTTGTGGCTCACGGGCTCTAGAGCGCAGGCCCAGTAGTTGTGGCTCATGGGCTTAGTTGCTCTGCGGCATGTGGGATCTTCCTGGACCAGGGCTCGAACCCGTGTCTCCTGCATTGGCAGGCGGCTTCTTAACCAGTGTGCCACCAGGGAAGTCCCTGTTTGTTTGTTTTACTTGCATTATTTTCTATGTACCTGTCCTTTTCTTTCTAATTAGAACTTTCATGTCCTATCAATAGTTTTTCATGCTCAAGTGTGTATACCCCTCTATCTGGAACTTTCCTCCTTGAAGCCCTCCTCCTCCAGTACAGACAGGTTTTACTTTATGCCTTTCACCTAAAGTAATGATAAATTAAATAATAACTATTATTCTGGGAGTTCTCTTTTCTTTTATGTTGGAACCCCTGTTTCCTGGGTCCCAGGTCTTTCTTTACTTCCTGGTTTTGGTGACACTTCTCCTTCTGTTGCTTTTTAAGAAATGATACATGGGAGATATATTTTTTTGAGTTCTTGCTTATTTGAAAATGTCTTTTTTTCTACCCTCACTCTGGATTTGCCGTTTGGCCATATAGAATTCAGGTTGCAAATTATTTTCCCTTAAAGACATTGTTCCATTGTCTTCTAGCTTTTAGGGTCATTTTTGAGAAGTCCAATGCCATTTTTAATCCTATTTCTTTGTATGTGACTTATCTTTCTGGACACTTCTAGTTCTTCTCTGTATCCCTGGTATGCTGAAACTTGGCATTCATCCTTCTTCATTCATTAGGCTTTCAGTTGGAGACTTGGGTCCTTCAGTTCCAGGAAATTTTTCTTAAATTATTTCTTTGATAATCTTTTCCTCCTCTGTTTTCTTATTTGGATGTTGAATTCAAATGATTCCCTAAATACTTTATCCTTATACTATCCTTATTATTTTCCATCATTTTGCCTTTTTATTACTTCCAACCTGTCTATTAACTTTTTAACATTGATGATCACTTTTGATTTCCAAGGGCTCTTTTTATTTTTGATAATATACTGCTTTTAAAAAATTGATGGGACTTCCCTGGTGGCGCAGTGATTAAGAATCCGCCTGCCAATGCAGGGGACACGGGTTTGAGCCCTGGTCCGGGAAGATCCCACATGCCACGGAGTAACTAAGCCCATCCACCAAAACTACTGGGCCTGCTCTCTAGAGCCCGCGAGCCACAACTACTGAAGCCTATGCGCCCAGAGGCCGTGATCCGCAAAAAGAGAAGCCATCGCATTGAGGAGCCTGCGCACCGCAATGAAGAGTAGCCCCCGCTCGCCGCAGCTAGAGAAAGCCTGCGCACAGCAACGAAGACCCAACACAGCCAAAAATAAATAAATAAAATTAAAAGAAAAATAAAAAATTGATGGATGTGATATCTTCTCTGAACTCTCTAGGAGTATTAATTGTAATTTTTATTTGAAGCTTTCTTCTGTTTCTGGCATGATCTGTTTCTTGCTGATCCAATTTTTTTTTGCGGGGGTGGTTTGTTTTGCTCTCTGTCTTTCATGATGGGGGCTTTCCTCCAGTGTCTGATAACCCTTAGTTATCACTTCATATTTTAGAGTAAGGCACAAGACCTAATTGGAGGGGGGAGGGATAAATTCGGAGTTTGGGATTAAAATATAAACACTACTATATATAAAATAGATAACCAACAAGGACCTACTTATAGCACAGGGAACTAAAATTAGTATCTTGTAATAACCTATAATGGAAAATTTAAAAAGAACATAAATATACATAAATATATACATATATAAAAATTCTTTTCCATATATATAACTGAATCACCTTGCTGTACACTTGAAACTGACACACTGTAAATCAACTATATTTCAATTAAAAAAGGCAAAAGAAAGACCTAACTGTAAGCCCTATGTGTACATACAGAACTTATCAAGTGGAAGCCTTTACTGTTGGGTTTTTGGTGGGGGTCTTGCTGTTTTGTTAGGGGAACTCCAGATGTTATTATCTATGGTTTTCTTCCTCTGGGGCAGTTCAGTTTCTTAGGAGAAGAATCTTCTCATCTGCTGTCTAGGGGTAACACACGTTGCCTGCATTTGGGGAGCAGAGTCGAGGAAGAGGACTGGGGTTCCCACTGCTCAGGATGCACTCTCGCTGAGTCTCCCTATTTCCAGACCTTACCTCACTCCTACTGGCTACTGTGCCAGTTGTACTGGAATCTAGGGCCTCCCCAGTTCAGATCCGCCAGGGATCAAGCTTCCATTCTCCTGCCTGGGTAAAGAGTAACTGCTTGGCTTCTGGGGCAGAGGATGTTTTCAGCTCTGATCCTTACTGTGTTCAATCCTTTTTTTTTTTTTTTTTTGCGGTATGTGGGCCTCTCACTGTTGTGGCCTCTCCCGTTGCGGAGCACAGGCTCCGGACGTGCAGGCTCAGCAGCCATGGCTCACAGGCCCAGCCACTCCGCGGCATGAGGGATCTTCCTGGACCGGGTCACGAACCCATGTCCCCTGCATTGGCAGGTGGACTCTCAACCACTGCGCCACCAGGGAAGCCCTGTGTTCCATCCTTTTATCATGGGCCAAATTTTTCAGAGGTTTTGTGGGTCAGTCAGTTTGCTTCTCACCTGTAACCCCCTTCCCCACTCCCCCTCCCTTGCTCTGCTATGATGTTACCATTCCTCCGCTTTCCATCTTTTAAAAAGGAACAGAATAAATGCCAATAAGCACATAAAAAGCTGCTGCACACCACCAACCATCAGGGAAATGCAAATCAAAACCACAATGAAATGCCACTTCATACCCATTAGGCTGGCTTATTATTAAAAAAAACCCAAAACAAAAACTAACAGTGTTGGGGTGGATATGGAGAAATTGGAACCCTTGCACATTGTTGGTGTGAATGTGAAATGGTGCAGCTGCTGCGGAAAATAATGTTTCCTCAAAAATGTTAAACATAGAATTACCATTTGATTCAGCAGTTCCACTTCTGGGTATATACACAAAAGTTTTGAAAGCAGGGACTTGAATAAATATTTGCACACCAGTGTTCATGGCATCAGTATTCACAATAGCCAAAAGGTGGAAACTGCCAGAATGTCCATTGATGGATGAATGGATAAACAAAGGGTAGTAAT